CCATTCTATGATTCTATGATCCAAAATGTTTGAACGGAAACCATTAGTCCCAGCACACTCAAGAGAATTATGGTGTAAAAAGAGGAAGGGGTCTGGTTTCTCACACATGCAGAATCCTCCCTATGGTAGTTCACTAAAATGGGAAGATGCAATTTCAAAAGCCACAGTTTATCCAGCCCTGGTGTTACAGTGCATAGCCAGAGGACAACCACAGGGAGAAATGTGCTTTTCAATCAGGCCAGCTTGTGCCTAGCAGAAACACACTAGACTTTCAGGTTGCAGGTCATGCTGTTTTCATTTGGGATTCAAGACAGATGTCACTTCTGTTTTGGTATGTGCCATGCACCAACACTTCTCTTGAGGTGTCATCATCTGTCTTCTGATGTACAGTGTAGGACATGGTTAACTTCTGGAGAAGGTGGTGTTTCCATGGCGAAGTCTCCTGACCACCATGCCCGGCGGAGTATGTACATGGGCTTGGTGGCCAAGGAAGCTGAAAACCAGCAGACTGAAACCAGCAGACCATGTCAACCATACAGGCACAGGTTAAGGACATCTTGGCCATGGCTGTCCCAGAGTTGGACTCTCTGGTGCTGACCTAGCCCTGAATCTCGTGTCAGCCATGCGATCCCAAGCAATCAGGGTTACACACCCTCTGAAGTGACTGCCCTTTGTCTGCAGGTTGCTGTTTCTCAGCTGGGGCATGACAACCAATGGGTGAAATTTTTGGTCTGGTGCAAAGTCAGAGACAATAGATTCACCCAACATCTCCTGAAGAGAGCTCAAAAACAACTCAGGTGAGTCAACCTTCTCTGCCTCTGCACAGGTCTGGCAGCCTGCAACACCTCCAGCTGTTGTATTTTTGCTAAGAGGCAGTAACTTTAAAGCACCGGCTGTCCTGTCTGCTACAAGTATCTGGTTACACTGGTGCTGAAAATTCCCAACTCGTAAAACCCACCTGTGGATCTGTTAAGCATCTAAGAACATGACTCTGCTTACAGCACTTGCTTGACTCCTGGGAAGCTGCAATGTTTTGGTAGGACTGACAGCCTGAAATACTGGAAAAATCTGGATCTTGACCACTGAGAACATGAGGTGGGCTAAAACGTAAAGATGTAAAAAAAATATACACTGTTGGGTCAGTTCCTTGTCATGCCACATAGAGGTTTTCCCTTGCAGCATCACGCTGCTGACCTCGGCATAGTCCTTGTATGCCCTAGCAGTGCTCTGCTGTGGAGTGTAAGAGGTGGAGGAAATAGATGGTACCATGCTCAGCTGCTCTGGGGTCATTCCAAAGAGATGATTGTATACAAGAAATGGGCAAAAGCCATAGTTTGTTCTTCTGAAAGAGCCCTGCCTAAGCAAGAAAGAGCTCAGCTGAGCAGAGGCTTCAGCATCTGCACCTACCTGAGGCAGCAGCACAGCTCAGATTTACACCTCAGCAGTCTATTTGCTTATTCTCCTCTGGGAACTACCTACAATTTTGTACAACCAAGGAATAAATAGATTATTCTCTAGCAGCACAAGAATTTCAGCCAAATGTGGTACATCCTCTTACCTCTGCCATCCAGTGCAAGATATTCCCCCTGGATACTTGACTTGTGATGTTAAAGCCCTCAAGGATGTTCAGTGCTGTGATCAGTGCAGGACCTGCATGTGGAGGTGGGGGGCTGAAAACAAGATGACCTGTGAAGGGTACAAGAGAGGAATGAAGCTGCTTTTGTCAGATATTGTCCAGTTATAATACTTTCCCATAAGCTAGTGCCCTTGAGGACAGGGAAACCTTTCCAGATTTGAGAGGAAATAGTGGAAAGCAACCTGATTTGACAAGGATTTCCAAAACCAGGATTTCCTGTTGTATCTTTCTGTTTCTTTATTACGGATGAAGGAAGCCCATATAGGGATTCTTTTTTACATCTGAAATTCAGTTCCTGTTGGTTGGCTGCTTGGTTTGTGCACTGCAGTATGGAAGAATGGAGATAAAATGGGTTTGCAACATTATGGCCATAAGGAGTGTAAGTAAAGGGATTTCTAGAAAAGAATGATATTATAGAAACTTTTTGCATGAAGTAAGTTTTGTCTCAAAGATCAACTTTGGGGACAGTTTTCAGACACAGGTGCTAGCCTGTTACATTACATCAATCAGTGATCATGTTGCATCTTTAACACCATCAAAATACCATTAGTCAGTATCAAGGAAAAAACAGGCTCACTTCAAAGTACCGAAAACCTCCTGAACTGCCTATGCTGCATCCGTGTCAGCAGGCAACAGCAGGAAACTCCCTGGAGGGCTTTTCTGCAGAGCCTCAGCACGGCTGTGACTCCAGCTCTTGTCCTCCCGACCTCTTGCCAGGTGAAGCAAACTTTTAACTGGGGTTGCATGGCAATGGGTCAGGTGTTTACCGCGATAGACTGTGTGGACGGGATTCTCCACGGTGGCACTGTAATTGCTGAAGTCTTCCTCCACCAAGACTCCTCCGTAGCTGTGGACCTGTGTAGGGGAGCAAAGGAAAGCATAGAGAAAGCTGGCTCAAGGCTCTCCGTGTTCTCCCCAGGTGAACACACACTGCACTGTCAAATGAATACCATTGAGATTCCCAGGCCAAGTTCCTCAGGATAACCTGAAAATCTGTGCTCTCATGGCCTCAGCGGCCTGGCTCACCATTCAGCACTGCTGCAAGGCTCTGCAGCTCTCCTCTACAAACTCACCCACCCCACGGGTGCCCTGAAGATGTTCTGTCTACCTGTGAGGGTGGGAACCGGCACTGCCTAGCAGCCTTCTCTCCCCTGGGTGGCAAGCACGAGTATGTTAAAAGGTTATGAAGCATTTGAATATTGTCAGGATAGAAGATATATATGGATCCAGGAGAGAAGGATCACGGGTGTAGCAGGTCACCATCACTAGAAAACTTTAGCATTCAATTTCTATCCTATTTTCAATTATTTCAGGTGATAGTGGGTCTACTGTAGCCTTGGTCTTTCTGTATGACTCTCCTAGAGGTAAAATTTACTGGGCTTGGCAATATGCAGGAACACAGTAAAGATGGGTAATTTCCTCCACTGCAGGTCTTGTGCGGTGGAGTCATGACGGAGATGAGGTAGGACCGTCATAACCGCACTCTGCTGACCTTGAAAACTCCTGCAGTAGGTAACACTCTCAGTCAGCATACAGGTTCTACTGTGCCAACTCTTTATTTTCACTGAGGAGAAGCCACACAACCTGGTGAGAGGTTCTGCTGGGGTGAGTTGCTGTTATGAGTCCTCTGGATTTCCATCCAAAAATGGGCAAGAACAAATAACTTGTGCACAGTCTGATTTCTCTCCTAGCCAGCTAACTTGGCAAGAAAACACCTTCTCTGGCAGGAATGGATGAATCACTGGAGCAGGAAAGCTAATGCAGGGCACGTTGTGGGAAGCAGCATGCCATACCACCCCAAAGCTGCAGAAGAAGATGCATGCCCTACTTGGGATCCCTGCCCACAGAAGTTCCAGAGAACAAGCCAGGTTGAACCCAATGGCTGTGATGGTCAGGAAGGTGCCTGTGCCAGGAGCTGCCTCCCTGGAGCTCGGCCAGCGGAAAGCCGGAACAAAGCAGTGGGGAGTGGAGCAGGAGGAGCCTGATGGCACAGAAAGGGGAGAAGCCCTGGTCAGCCATACACTGCAGACACCATCTCAAATTCCTGAGAGCCCTTTTTCGTGCCTACGCCTTCCTGCCACAGGATGGAAACAAAGGGTAGGGTGTTTTGGAGCTTTACCTGATTTCACCACATCAATGCCCTCCCTTTGCTGGAACAATAAACACTTTGGGAAGCCAGCACTTTGCTCTGCTCTGCAATCAAAGCTGGAATTGAGCACTTGGTCTCTGAGCTTGCCATGGTCTTTGGAGCCGCAGCCCTGGGCTTTTCTCTTCCTTAGGGAGTTTGTGCTTCCTTGTGGAAGCCCTCAGGTCAGGGGGATGGGGTGATAAATCAGGGTTTAGCTGTGGAGAAGTGCCACAAGCTTGCGACCTTTCCTGGTCCTTGTTCTCCACCTCTGCTGTGGTCCAGGTGAACTGCAGATTTCCAAACATACAGCTCACAAATCTCTAAGGCTTGTGCTGAATGAACCCATTCCAGATGACTGATGGCATGTTGCAGGTGCATCACTTGAACCATGGTGGTAGGGAAAAACGATGCTGCAGCTGACTGCAGCTTCACAGGTATAAATACCAACCACCCTGACTGCAGCTTCACAGGTATAAAAGGTGTTTGGGGGTTTTTTAACAGAATAATTACTTGGTTTGTCATTGCTATTTTTTCCAGAGCACCTCTAACAACAGGAGTTAAACTAGGGCAACCCTAAGTAGGACCAAGCCTGTCTGACCCTCTGTTCACAAGGCTCACAGGTTTATTTTTAAACCATCCTCCTGGAGTCTATATTGTACAGACCCATTAACAATAACAATTTGCTTTTCAACAGTGGGCCATCTCTCATTATGGGGAGAAAGGGGTTGTCTAATAACCAATACTAACACAGTGCAGAGGGGATCGGGAATTGAGATTTTTTTTTTTTTCCCTTTGAAAAATCAGTCTGTCCTGGTTATAGAGGAAATGGAGGTTTCACCTCTGTGGGGGCTGTGGAAGTGACCTGCGTGTCACACCACTACAATGACAGAGACTGGAAAAAAGAAAGGAGGCTCCACATACTTGTCCCCATTCTTGGGCTGACACTTGGCTATGGCTTATCTCCAGGTTGTAACCTTAAGCAGATGACATGGCAGACGGCACCCCAGCCCGGGCTGTGCCATGGGTCTGGGGCAGAAACAAGGACAGACATGGCTCACCTCGGAGATTATCTCCTGGGTCAAGTTTCCGCTGTAGAAAGCTGACAGCCCTTCTGCCCCCACCAGCTGCAGGACAGCTGCGAGGTCTGGGCGCCTGACAAACATGCCAGGCAGCAAGGGCTGGCCATCCGGCAGGAAGATCTCCCGAAATTTGTCAGAGTAGTTCCAGTCCTTCAGTTCACTCACGGCTTTGGCTGTGGGCAAGAAGGAGAAGGACATCTAGAAAAGCCAGGGTGCAGGAATGTGCAGGGGACCTGAAGTCACTATGTGCCTGATGGAGCCTTACTGCTGCCTCCTGCCCTGTTTCGAAACGAGAGGGAGGTTGGATTGTGCATCAATTAGAGCCGGGAAGGCAACCCAGAGAAACTCCACTGCCATTCCCCAGCTGGCCCTGGGCAGGTGCCCAGCGCGGGCTGCTCTAACCTGTCCCTGACCAGCCCTAGGAAAGGGCTCCAGTTTTCACAGAATCATAGAATCTTTTAGGTTGGAAAAGACCTTTAAGATCACCAAGTCCAACCATTTTGCTGCCACCATGCTCTCCCCTTGCAGACGACAGCTCACGTATTGCTCAGCTCCCAACACCATCCATCTCCATGTCCAAAGAGCCTTAATTTCCCACGAATAGCCATCTACATCCCCATCTGCCTCACACTGGAGCACAGTGCTCCTCCGTGCTAAGCAGCTCCCCATGCTTAGACAGGTACTCACCCAAATCGTGCGTGACGTTAAACCCATCCTGGGCGACGCTGGCCACGTGACCCAGCAGCTCGGACCATGGGATTCTGCCAAAGCATAAAGAACACTGAGAAATGTGCCTTGGAGGGGTGCAGCAGGGCAGGGTGGTGGGGAGCAAGCACAGGGATCAATTCTGTGGTTAGGGGGCTCCTGACAGACCAGGCTGTGGGGCCAGCAGTGGACAAAAGGAGCACTGAGCTTTCAGTGGGTTGTTTCTTTCTAGCAGGATCATCTCAATGCTCCACGATGTGCACCAGAGAGGAATGTCAGTGCAAGGACAGGGGAAGGGGCATCTCTGGAGCTAAATCTCAAGCCAGGTCCCAGCCCTGAGCAGGTCATTCAGATCCCTCCCCCACTCCCTGTCCCAACAGGGCATCAAGGACAGCCGTGCTTCTTAGTGTCCAGCTAAAGAGAGAAAGAAAATACACAAACATGCATGAAAATGTTCTGCACCTATTTCTAAAACATTCATTGTCCGTCTTGTTAGACAAAATTTCATTTTGCAGAAAACCTGAACAAGCTGAATTCTTTCTTTTGTTAAATAAAGTATATATATATTAAAAAAAAATTCAACACAAGCCTCCAGGTACCTCTTAGCTAATGGTTGGCTGAGAACATGGTCTGAAAGCAAGGGCTCATGTGCTGCCAGCTCCCCCGCGGGGACCCCAGGGCACAGCCTGTGCAGTACAGGGACAGTCCACCTGTGCTAGCCTTGTGTCTTACCTCCCGTGTAACTGGTGTGCCTGGTGCATTCCTTGTATCATGCCTGGCACCCCCACGAGCAGACCTGGCTGTAAAATAGGAAGGACAAAACAGAAGAGTAGTCTTCTTCCCATGAGGACATGGTACCCAGTTGCAAGTCAAGGAGATGCGAGTCATGTTCACAAGGGAAATGTCTGCATGGTCTTTAGGAGAGGGGAAGAGATCTGTAGCAACACACTGAATTAGGGAATACAAGTTTTTGGAAGGAAAGAGACAAATTCAATCATGGTCTCAACCCAGTTCGGTCACAAGAAATAACTCAGCAGAGCAACAAGGGATTGTGCTCCTTCCTGAGACTCTATTCTCCCAGCTGCTGAAGGGACATGCCTCTCTGCCCCCCAAGCCCTGCCTCCAAGCATCTCCCCCTTCGGCCCAAGAGTTGCAGGGAGAGGAGAGCTGGAGACACCAGCCAGCTACGGCCCTGGCAGGGTTGGACATGGGATGCTGGTCCTCACCTTGGAGTCATGCTGCAGGTCCCCCTCCAGTGGGATGCCCAGGGGGGCTACCTCGCGGAAGTCAATCACCCAGCTCCTGTTCTTCCGGATGTCGTGGACCAGCATCACCCCACCCCTGCAGTGAGACCGGGGTCACAGCACGGCAGTGGCTGTCCCAACAGCAGCCACTGCCATAAAAACAAAATGAAAAGCGCGGGTGCCACTGGGGCTGGGCCCAGTCCTGCTGTGACAGGACCATCGTAGCAGGTCACCAGCCTCAACAGTGACCCAGGGCTGGCCAGCAGTGCAAGGGAACGCTGCTGCCCTTCCCCAGAGAGACGCTCATGACAACTGAGCCAAGGCGAATGCAGGACACAGGCAGCCCCAGTGCTGAGCCTGCAGTGAGGCTGAATCAGTCCCTGCCAGGTTGGCCAGGGGGCCAGTGGTTCTGTTCCACTGCCAAGCTGGGACTATCTGGGATTTTCTTTCTAATCCAAGCAGTTTTGCAACAAAACTGGGGTTTTGCTTACAACAGCAATCTGTGGCGCAGTCTGGAGAAGCTATCAGGTGGCAGTGTTTTATGCAATGGTCCTTAGACCTCCTGAGCTGAGAGCACCAGGCTCAGATGGATGCTACCCGGGGGATGAAGGCTGGGAAGAGGCCACCCCTCACCACCATGCCTCCTGCGGCTGCAGCCCAGAGCTGGGCTCAGACCTCAGCCCCCTATGGCAGCAGGAGCAGAGCTTATGGGGGGAAGCACCCAATCTCTGGAAGAATTGGGACTGAGCCCAGGGTGTTGCAAGCTCCTGGCATGCTTATAGATGGGCTCAAGAGCTCATCTGAGGTTGGACTTCCCTGGCAGATACTATGGTAGGTGCAGCTTTCCCATCCCTGGGGGTCTCTGTCCCTCACTCTCAGCACACGAAGGGTCCTCATCCCTGTGCAGACATGGACACGTCCACTGCCTGATGTCGGAGACCACGCACTGGGACTCAGGCTGCCATGAAGGCACGTCTCAGCTGGTGGGGAAACCACCTGCCTGAGGACAACTGCAGAGGACAGCAAAGGGGTGGGTGATCAACACTTACCCGCCGATCCCCGACATGTGGGGGTTGACAATTCCTGCGCAGAGGGCCGAGGTGATGGCTGCGTCTACCGAGGAGCCTTGCTTGTTGAGCACCTCTATGCCCAGCGCCGTGCAGTGGGCAGCGTCCGTGACCACGGCACCGTGGTGGAAGATCTGATGGAGGAGGAGAGCGGTTGTGCTCAGGGAAGGGTGCTGGGGCCACCCAAATCTCACCCAACTCTCTCAGGCCCAAAGCCAGCACCAAGGCTGTGGCTGATCTGCATTTTCAAGTGCCTCCAAATGCTGGTGGGAGCATGATGTCCCTTGGCACGTCCCTGCACCAGGGCAGTTGTGGCCCCTCTCCATGTAGCCGTGGCCATCAGCTCAGCTGGCTGTCAACAACAGACATGCTAAACCGGTGGGCCACTTCTCACCCTGTCTCTCTCAACCCCAGAGCAGGGTCAGACTAATCCACAAGAGCAATGGGCAACGGTGTGCTGTCACTGCACAGCAGCACTGTGGTCACTGGAAACGAATAAAGCTGCAAAGAATGTAGCATCCTCCCAGAACCACAGCTTGCTCTCATCCTTCTCTGGTGCTAGCACCACTGCTAATACAGTCACAGAAGTTCTAAAAGGTTTATTTAAACCCTGTGGCACAAATCGCAGCATCTCAGCATGAGCCAGAGTGGCTTTGGGAAGTGAGAAGACAGAAGGGCCATGGCCGGCCGGAGGGCAAGACTGGCCACGACGGGCTGCACAGCCTCCCCCCAGCCAGCCACGGCGCCAAGCCACTCCACTCCCAACGTCTGCGTTTTGCATGCAGCAAATACATTAAAAAAAAGCAAATCTCTTTCACATGGACTTGCAGGCAGCCCCACCCCACTGGGTGCCATGCGGAGATGACAGGGACTACTGGCTGCCCCTTGGCCCTTCTCAGGCTGTGGTACTTGGCAGATGTTCCACAGGAAGGTATGATCCCACGGCCATACTGCCTTTCCTCTGCCATTTAGCACTGGTTTGTGGGACAGTTTAGGAGGAGGTTCAGCTTTGTTTTCAGCTCTTCCCTGTCTTGGTCTTGGACGGATCCTTCCAGTGGTGAGCCTGGGCATACAGATCCATAAAACCGTCTCCAAGTGGAGATGTACAAAAGATGGCCTACTGCCTAACTAAGGATTTCTTTCTGAAAGCACTCACATCTGCTCAAACCACAGCTGGAGACACAGCAGTGGGGCTGCCATTTCCCCCTGCAGCTCCCCCAGACATGCCAGGCACAGACACCCTCACCCCAGCCGTGGGGCACCAAGAGCCCAGCTTGCCTGTCCAAGCACAACCCCCAGCAGGAAAAAAACTTTCAAGACAATTTGGGGTGGAATCACAGAGAGAGACTCAGCGCTCAGGGTCTCACTGACAGCGGCTGGGGCTTACCAGCACTTACCCCACTAAACTGCTGACAAGGAGGAAAGTTAGGGAGCTTCTCCTATTTTGGGAGCCAAATTTTGACTGCAAAGCTACTGCTTCATCTTACCTGAGGATCCCCAAAATAGATCTGCATGATCAGGGCCACTGTGACCCCCATGGCGAAGGTCAGGCAGGCGGTGATGATGACAGTCAGCCCATCCTGCCGGCAGCTGCAGTCTCCAGAAAAAGGGTCCTTGCTGGTCTCCTGGAGAGGGGACACGTCCTGGCTTCCCATCTCTGATGAGGACGAGGGCAGTCGCTGGAGACGCGCAGACTTCAGGAAGGAGTCTGGGTCTTTGTGGGCAGCAGGGAGAAAACAAGTGTTAGCTCTTGAGCAACACGAGGCTCACTGCAGTGTTTACCCAGCGCTAACATTACACCATGCCCCTTCCAGCAAGGCTATTACCTTCCCTATTGATCCCAGCTCTCAAGAAACTTTCTGGCTCAGATGCTGCTTTAGGTCATTTTACTAATCCCTTCCTCTAGCTCTAGTTATTCCAAACTGACTTCCCTGGAGATCGAGGGGCAAAACCCCTGAATTTTGCTCTATTTCAGTCCATTCATCACCCTTCAGTGCTGGGCCCAGAGTTACTGCTCTGTTTGGAGGGGTTCTCAACACAGCACTGACTTGCAAACAGGTCTCTCAAATGCAGCGGGACTGAAGGAAAGGAAATTAAGATATAAGAAAAAGAATCCAGCAGCCTTATTTGGAGCTATGCTTGAGCTAAAGCACCTGAGCAAAACAGAGGTGAAGCAAAATGTGTGGCCTAGGCACAGGAAATACCTCTACAGAAGCATGGCAAAGTGAGGGCAGAGAGGAGCAAACCTGCAAACTGGAGGGCTCCAGGGCGTCCACCTGCTCTGATGGCAGGAAAGGCTCTGCTTTGATTCCTTGCTTCCTCCAGCTGACCAGGCCCACTGTGAAACCGAGCTGCTCGCCGAACGCCCAGCTCTGAGCAGCAGGGCAGGGTTTGCTATGCATCCTCCAGACGGCAATGCTCAGCAGGGTGAAAGTCTCTCTGAAAGGCTCTGAAAGATGCCTTGAAACTCTGCTCGTGTCAGCTGCTGCCTTTGCGCTGGGGCCGAGCGTGCCCTGCCTGTACACGGCTGTTGCCAGGCACGTGGAGCTGCTGGTGCAGCCATGGGGACAGGCACCCATTCCGTGCCTGTTCCTGCCGGGTACCGAATGGGAGCGAGTGGCCCAGGGCATCGTCCAGGGCTCCTGGGTGATTTTTTCTGGGAGGGCTGCCAAGGGACGGTGGGGTTGCAGTGCCCACACATCCACGATGGGAAGGAGCACCAAGTGGAAATGACAAGATGAAAAGCTTGTCCCTCCCCAGAGGGGACTTTTCCCAAGTCTGGGGCAAGGGAGAAGGAAACAAGCAGGAAACCCCACATTCCCCATCACCACACCATGCCTCTCCACCTGCTCTGCAGGCAGCATCTCCCTGCGGACTCCCAGCTCTGTCCTTGCCATGGCATTAAAAAGACCTCCTGGGTGCAGTTCTCCTGGGGCCAGACAGGGAGTTAAGTTTTCATTTCAGTGATGCCATAACCAGGAGTAAACACCCTGCAGCCAGGGAACCCCCTTAGGGTGATCTTAATTTCATTCATGCTTTGAGCACAATTGGGAAAAACTCGGCCTTCCCAGCCTACGCCTCTGAGCACACACAGAGCCCTTCCCTGGCACGTCTGGTCTGAGGGAGCTGGGTCGGCAGCGTAGGGGCAGAGTGGGAGGCCTCGCTGAGGGGGGGCGATGGGCTGGTGAGCCTCCGATGGGAGCTACGACTGGCCTGGCAGGGGATGCCGTTGGGGAGGGATGTCACATACACCCCTGGCACCCTGCAGTGGGGCACCGGTGAGGAATGAGGTGGGCTCCTCTGCCCCACCCCTCAGGATGCCATCCAGCTGTTCTGCCCCTGTGGTGCTGGTGACAGGCCAGCCCAGCACAAGGGGACATGAACACACAGGGAGCAGCCATGGGAGTGGACAGGCCACAGCCCTCCAGGGTGGCCTCTCCCATCCATGCAGAAGTACTTTGTTCTCTGCCACAGACATCCTGCGTGGCCTCGGGCAAGTCACCTGGTCTACGTGACCACTGGTGCTGCATGGGCACAGCAGTGCCAAGGATTGGGGACTGGAGCATCTGGAAGGAGTCAGTCAGGGCACAGAGGGCAAGAAGCAGCCTGTGAGGCAAATGCATGGATGCTTGTCCCACCACCAACGTCTGTACTCGAAAGAGAAGCCACCAAACCCTACTTGGCTTCTGTGGGGGGCCCCGATGGCTTCACGGGGGAGCCATCAGTTTGGGAACCAGGGCCACCTCAGCTCTGGAGCCACTACAGAGGGGACAGCGGAGACTGGAGCTGCTTGTGGGCTCTGGCAGGAGCTGTAATGTGGGACCATTCAGTCCTGGAGGGGGGTACAGACCGACACCTCACCGACAGCACCCACCCCAGCACCGACAGCACAACAGGGGCTCCCTCCTTTTAATGAGATCTTCTGGGCAGCAGAAACCAAAGGTCTGGGTTCCTGCCTGCTGGTCCTGCAGATAACGTGGCACGGAGGAGCGCAGCTGGCTTTTGCAACACGCAGGCAGCGTCGGATGAGCGCGACTTTCCCCAAGGCAGGAGAGCAGCAGGGTGCCCCTCAGGCACCCAGGGAGACTGAGACCCCGCGCCTGCACGGCACCGGCACAGCCAAAACCACACCAACTGCTCGTGCTCTGCGTGCGAGACGAGAGGCCTCGTG